TTTACAATACAATAGGTCTTGGAAATTATTTTCTAAAGGGGACATTAATTGTGTGTGAAGCCTTTACAAGCGAAACAAAAGATAAGACTTGATAATAAGAATATCATTTGAATTGGCATCACACAGATTTCACGGCAGATCATATATGTATTTGTCGCCTGCACAGAAAACAAACACACATGTTTAAGTAGGCTGTGCCCATTCATGAACAGCTTGTATACATATATTCAGCATATATGTATATAGTTTCTGTTCTCGTTAACAAACGTGAATATGAAAAACTGTATGAAGTGGTTAAACTTTTATTACAAATGAAATACAAATGGCAATATGAAAAGGACATAACGAAATTAAAAATAGGGAAATAATTTAAAGGAATGGAATCCCTTGGTATCAAACCCACGGGCGAAAACACACATATGATAAAGACAGTACTACTGTATCGCGAGATTCTTGAATTTTCCCGTTAGCGCCTTCTCCAGTAAGTTCACGGCATCTACCAAACCGTCACTGAAATCAATAATGCGTATAAAATAGAGATACCAAAAGAATATATAACATTTAAGTACAATAGCAAAGAAAACAGAAGCACGGAATGAAAAATTCTGACCCACCTGGGAGGAGCCGGACACATGGCCTGTGACGTCATCACCCACGTAGCTACGTTCATCGCCCGGGCCTGTCGCTTGCGTCGACCAGGGGGCATGATGTTGATCTGCAAAGGATGCGAACATTGGTAGATATTGCTCTTTCACGGGTTGGCATGCATGGTAAATCACGTTATGTAAAAAAAAATAATACGACTTACCTGATTTGCATTGTTAGCGTTGACATTTGTGTTGACATTACTGTTATCAACATTATTATTGTTATTGTTGTTGTTGTTGTTATTGTTATTGTTTATATTATTATTGATATTAAGGATGAGCGTGCTGACGGTGACCAAAAAGCTCATATAATTGAGAGCGTTGCCTCCCGAGAACACAGAAGCAGCGCCTGTCCCCATGCAGCGTTTAGGGACCTTCTTTCTCCGGAAAATATTCGACGGGCTTCCTCTCCGTATCCTAACGGGGGTGTCCGCAGCTGCAGGAGTTTCTGTATTGAGTTCACTATCTGAGGTTGTGTTGGAATCTCCGTAGATCTGACGTTCTAAATCTATCGTGCTTCCGCCGGCGGTTTCTTCAAAATCAAATTCACTCCAGAGCTGCTCGAACTCCACATATAAGTGATCCAATTCGATTCTCAAAACTTCATCGGGGTTCGACAGGTTTTCTCTTGATCCTTCTCCGAAACCTAGCCCTGCGACGAGGAAAATCACTGCACCGTAAAAAGCAGACTGGGAACTCCATTGCAAAGCACACATATGCCCGCGAGTAATACACTGTGTGCTAGCTCGTGGTCCTGCTGGGCGTTGGTGGCGTTTCTCGCGTCGACCGGCGGCGGCGGGGGAGCGATGCCGAGTGCTAGCTTTCGGTTTTGGCCACCAGGTGACTCCCCAGTCTCTTATACTGTACAAATATAGAATTACAAGGCGTAAGTTCTACAATTTAGAGTGATAGGTTATGCTTTGTATACATGTGTACGTAAATATACATACATACATACATACACACACACACACACATACACACACACACACACACACACACACACACACACACACACACACACACACACATATATATATATATATATATATATATATATATATATATATATATGTATATTTATATATATATATATGCACGTGGAATATGTAGTCTGCTATAAATTAACATTCACACACGTACACGTGCATGTATGTCCACATGAAATACACCACATTGTGTATGTGTGTAGCTTTAAAGCATTTACGCTATTAATATAATGTAGGCCCAGTTTATGTTGGCTATAAACAAAGTTCAGGGATCTTAATTGAACTAGATTGTCCAAATTACTCCCCATCGACCGTTAATCAGATGAACTAGATTTTCAAGAATGTGGGATTTCAGGGTGTCAGATTCACCCACATTTAGCTGTAAATTTTCGTGAAGCAAAGCATTCCGAGCATTGCATCATGAGCCCCTATCTTCCCCCTTCTTAATCGGATAAAAATAATTTATGTACATAATCTGATTTCAAGAAATTCGCAGGAACTGAACGAGGATGACTTCTGCATTTTAAGGCAATCCACTATGAGTTTAATGTGTTAGCTGTAAAAAGTTTGAGATAAATGCACATTTTGAAAAAAAAAAAAATGGCACTAAGGAAACACAAGATCTGACAGTCTGTATTTGAAAGTAAACTGAAAAACATAACAGGCATATTATCATCTTCACGCCACAATAGACAGCTGAACACCAAATGTATTGGCTAACACTACCTGTCTGCCGGAATCTCGTGTTCGCCAACCTTCATGAACGACTGCCAAAGTTTTATAAATCTTCGCTCATGTTTCGCCACCAGCTATCGTTATAACCTCCAGCAGGTCACCATGTCAGTCCAGAGACTTTGTATACATTTAAACCAGTCGTAACCCGTCGAAATACTGATTATATGATCCACTTGCGTTATTTCCAAGAAAATACATAGCCTACTGACTTACTGGACGAAAACCATACTATAGAAGTCTAAAATCTTAGAAATATTTAAGTTCTCATTAATCCTATTCTTACTCAGAGTCCAAAAAAAGGAGGTCAAGCCATAATTGACCACATACACATTACTGCACACCACGAAGCCAGACGTATGCGTGGGTCAAAACAAGAGAGACTCGTGAAGCATGCAAAAAAATCACACACCCACTAGCTTCACGCTCATATCTACGACTAATACGCCATTTACCCATAATTACCCATACTTTGTCGGAACACTCAAGTGGAACTGGCGAGGAGTACTGCACTACCCCGAGGAAAGGAAATTATAAGGGAAATGCACAGTAGAAATAACGAATAACGGTAAGGCGAATTTGATGTCTGACCGAATTTAAATATTATGGCATTTGTTGACGTTTGCGGTGTGCTGGTCCATTGTGGATTTACCTGTGATAATGTCCTTGAAACCTCAAGGGCCGTGTGATTGCGGCAATTTAAAGTGTAAACGGCGACCTGCGAAACCGTTACTGATATAAACAATGAAGAAGTGCTCTTTGCATTTTTTTCTGATCTGCTGGTCATAATGATCATGATATCAACAATGATGTGGCAATGATATATTACTAATGATAATGATGATGATAATAATGATAATGATATTGATGATAATAATAACAATAATGATAATAAGTGATAATACTGGTAATAATAATAGTAACGTTAACAACAAACAACAAAGCAATATTGATAATATTACTGATAAGGTAGCCATGATTAGATTAGGGAAATTACAATAGAAATAATGCTGCTATTCATTGCAATAATAATAATAATACTAATAATAATAATAAAATAATAATAATATACGTTATCAAATTCATGAGTATTATGCCGAATGGTGATGATATGGATCATAATAATAAAGGTAAAGATATATACCAATAGTTATTTTAACTTTACTCCATCATCAGGTGCCAAAAGCTAATTGATAACAAGGATGAATTCTACTAATGACAGTGATGTTATGATGATAATAATAGTTATCACAACTTTTAAGAATCGAAATAAAAAAATATCCTACATCTGTTCCTAAGTCGTTGTTATATAAATCAAAGTAATTTACCAGTGGGTCTTTAGATAAGAATTGTTGTATTTGTAAACACCACAACCACTAGTTATTTAAAAGTCTCGTATATATATATTTTTTGTACATCCCGAGCTGAATACTATAGTGTTTGGGTGTTCAGTTATCATCGTAGCGGAGAAATTACGAGAAATTACCAATTTATTATCGTCGTAAAATAGTTAAAAGTCAGTGCAATACCGCTGTTACCTGTGGGAAGAGAGTCCATCCACCTGCTATTAATTGGGCGGTTTCTTTTGTTTATTGCTTCCGTCAAAAAAGGTAAGGTAATAGAACTTGTTTGTTTGTTTATCTATAGGTTTCTTTTTGTGAATGTTTGGATAAAGTATTATAAAGAAGAGTTACCATCAGATCGCTATGGAAATTTATGATGACAATCTGGAGTGGAAGAGTAGACGAAGGGACATGTTATTAGTAGATATGGGTGTTTGTGGCACATCAAGTGTATGGTTAAAGAAGGCGTTAAGTTATAAGTAGATTTTGTTGAATATAAAGGTAGATTAAAAATAGATTCACGGTTAAGAATGACAGCAAATATTTGGGATAGGTTAAGGATGATGGAGGTAACTCACTATGGATTTTTTTTGATAGATTAAGTACAAAACAAAGTAGACTATATTCAACAGATAGTAATAATGATAACCACAATACAAATAATGACAGAAATAATATTAGTAATAATACTAATAATTATATTTTTATCATTATTAATATTATTATTGTTATTATTATTATAATTGTTATTAATATTGTTATTATCATTATTATCATTATTATTATTATTATTATTATTATTATTATTATTATTATTATCATTATCATTAATATTATCATTATTATCAACAATGATAATACTCTAGCAGTGATACGATCGTGACATGGCATTTTTCAAGTTTCAGCCTTAGAAATACGACTAAATATACTACCGTGCAATGATTTCGCATTAATCTCGCCACCATTCACCCACTATTGCAGTCAGGAACGGTGTTATACCATCCCAATAATTAAATATACGCGGAGTACTTCCAGCAGAAGTACCAATTTCCTCGTATAAACTCATTTTCCTTTTTAAGCTCCACTCCTCAGTTATTTAACTTTTTATCATTGGTAAGTCTCAAGTACTTGGACAGGAAGGTTAGACAAACTAGATGAAACGAGTGTTATTATCATTTTATCATAACTGCGAGTCGATTCTACATCCCTGTCAAGGACGCTTCTTTTGACCACGCCCACCTCCTCCTCTGCTTCCGGAAACAGATCACCCTCGGGAGATTGCCCTGAAAATAAAGTAGAAAAAATGGGTGGTTTACTGATTAAGTTGTAAGAATGTTTTAATGATGATATTGATGATGGTAATAACCAATAATAATAATGATATTAGTAATAATAATCATAACAACAATAATGATATTCATAATGATAATGATAATGATAACAAAACAACAACAGCAGCAACAATAATAATGATATTGACAATAACAATAATAAATAATAGTAACGATAATGATAATAATCATAATCATAATAATAGTAATTATAATAGCAATGCTAATGATAATAATGATGATGACAATGATAAGAGTAATGTTAATTATAACGCCAAATATAGTAATAATAATCCAGATGATGATAATAATAGTAACAGTAAATGATGATAATAATGACAATAATATTTTAACGATAATGATAATAGTAATAACAACAAAAATGATGTAAGAATTATCATTATCATCATCATCATTTTCGTTATTGTCATTATCATTATCATCATTCCATTGCTGTTATTACCATCATGCTCGTTAGTTTCATTATAGTAATTTTCATTACTATTAGCTTCACAGTTACTCCATCATCTTTCTCATCATAAATTACCAATTATATAGTTATCTTTGATCACTATCCTTGATCGACAAGCATTTTCAACATCGAATTCTTTCTCCCTTTGAGTTCACGCAGACTGCAGAATGGAGCAGTCACTATATTTAAGTACTTTTCTTTCCCTGACTCAGACATGCATTCCCAACACCTGTGACTTCACGCAGGCAGCAGAACGGCCACTTACCTGACAGCAGAAGCCAGCAGAGCCCCTGAGCCACCTCGAGCTCTCACCTGCTGTATCTCCCTGCTGAGGATCCGCCAGGAGTCGTCGAAGGCAAGCTCTTGGCTTTTCGAAAGGCTGTTGGCTAGGTTCTCCTGTGAGTGAGATTGTTTGTTGTTATCGCTGTGAATAATGATAATGGTAATGATGATATTGATAATGACAACAGTAATAAAGATATTGATAATAATAATAGTAGTAGTGGTAATAATAATAATAATAGCAGTAATAATAATAGTAATAATAATAACAACAATAATAATAACAGTAATAACAACAACAATTATGATAATGAGAGTAATAATATTATTTTTGTTAGCGTTATCATTGCTATTACTATCACTATTGCTATTTTATTATCATAATAATGATTATTGTTGTTATCATTATCACTATCCGTATTATCATAAATGTTATTGTTGTTGTTGTAATCATTGTTATCACTACTATCATCTTTATAATTGTTCTTAACATAATTCTTATAATCAATATTCATATAACTATGACCATTATTGTTACCATAATCACCATTAGAAATATCATCATCATTATCATTATCGTTATTATCAACAGTATCATCTTTATTATTATCATTATTATCACCATTATCATTATCATTATTATTATGATTATAAAATCAGAAACTTAGTCACTTACAATAGTCGAAGCCGCTAAAAGTCGCAAGCTAGCCGTCATGGCATCTGTCACGTGATGATTCAGTTCCTTGCTGCACTGTGTTGCACGCTGCTTGAAATCAACATCGTCTTCTTCTCGCTTGCCTGGCCGATGACCGAGGAGTTGCAGGATTCGCCAGTCGCTGAGGCTTCTTCTTTTCCGCCCAGGGGGAAACACGACAATCTGCGAGGAGACGCGTTAGCTTCCTTGCGAGCGCTTTATGATTTTATTGTTATTATTATAGTTGTTATTAGTGTTGTTATTAGTATCATTATTATTATTGTTGTTGTTGTTATTATTATTATTATTATTATTATTATTATTATTATTATTATTATTATTATTATTATTATTATTATTATTATTATTATTATTATTGTTATTATCATTATTATTATTATTAGTAGTAGTAATAGTATTATTATTGTTATTATTATTATTATTATTATCATTATTATTATTATTATTATTATCATTCTTATAATTGTTTTTATTATTTTTATAATCATGATTATCATTATGAATATTATGATTATGATTTTTTATTATGATTATGATTATTATTATTTTTATTATTATTATTATTATTATTATTATCATCATCATCATCCTCATCATCATCACTATTATCATTATCATTATTATCATTATCATTATTTTATTATTATTGTAATTATTATTATTATTATAATAATAATTATTATCATTGTTATTATTACTATTATTAGGATCATTAGAATTATTATTATATTAATATCATCATCACTCCTTTATTTTTTCAATATTTTAAGGGGGAAGCGGGTGTCACGGGAAATAACAGCAACATTTCCGTCTTCTTACCTGATTGGCATTCTGCGTGTTGGCATTGGCATCTACGTTGTTATTGGATATGGCGTTGTTGTCATTCAGATTATTGTTGTCGTTGTTGTTGTTTATATTGTTGTTGACATTCAAGACAAGGGAGAGCACGCCGGTGACAAAGCTGAGAAAACTGAAGGCGTTGTGGCCAGACATTATTCCTCCAGCGGCGACACACTTCCTTTTCGTCTTCTTCCCTGGCATGTACATCACGGGAATATTTCTTTGCTTCCTCTCGTGACCATGGGGACTCCTTTCGTCTTTCTCTTCCACTTCTTCTTTGTTTTCCTGTATTGCTAACGTCCCATCCGCATCTGCCGTTCCGTTTCTGTTGTGGCTGGGAGGTGCCTGAATTTCTTTTTGGAGAAAATATGGATTTTTTCGTTCTGGTATTTTGCTGTCATCTTCATCTTTTCCCTGTTTGGCTTTTATATTATCCATCTTCACTTCACTGCAGAAAATCTTGTCACACTTTACTTGGATCGGGTCTCGATTTAACCATTTTGCATCGTTGGCCTTTCGACTAGTGTTTTGAACGTTTTTCGGATTCAGGAAACGTTTCTTGTCGAACACTTCGCCCATGTCTATTGTTGATGACGTTTCAGTGAGGAATTTCCAGTTATTAAGATGCTGTTGAAGTAAGACCTCAAGATCATAGGCAAGGGCGCGATATGCCACCTCCTTTGTGTCCTCCATGAGGCTACCTCGAGACGCCCCCACCGAGGCAACCATGGCGACCAAGAACACCACACTACCACACATCTATCCTTATAATTTGATTCTGCAGCTTTACATCAGTAGGATGCTATCTTTCCTAGGGTTTCATATGTTTTGTCAACAATATTGCTTCTGTAGCTACATACTATCAACAAGCTCACCACAAGATATAACTATACTTGACAGATACTGTAAAGCAGTCGATTAGTTCCCACTAGGGCTGTTTCGCGGTGATGGTGTGTGCGAGGCTGGCGGGACACTGAGGCGGCCGCACCTCCCGTCCACACTTGAGCGCCCGAGGCCCTCACTCGCACCGGCGCCAGTGTAGAGCCCGCACTCCCGAGCGTCGCACCAGAGTGAAGCAGGTACGTCGGTTTGTTTAAATAGGTTTGTCCGTGGACGAGCGTGCTTAAGACATGTAGCATGGTTTTACAAGAATATATTGTTATAAAAACTTATTCTTGTACATAACGTATACTCCAATTGCTTTGCGAAGTACTCACTTGGATTAAATGCGATAATGAGATAAGGATAAAGGATATTGTAAAAGTGGCTGTGATTTCAACAGATACGCCAAGCTGCTCCACATGATAGCATAAAGGAAGATCTCAGCGCTAGGGAAAAATCCGTTATCCCTTGTTCGTAAAGCTTGCACGTTATAGAAGATTGATGACTGCTATAAACCTGCACTGTGGTCGACAGTAACAAGACAACATGTTAGCTATTTTCTGTGTACTTTTCCTGACAATACCAGAACTTACTTCTGCTCCGGCGTCACGCTCAGTTCTCGATGAGGTTGCATTCAAAACGCTCGCCTTTGAGTTCGAGATGCTGCTGAAGAACCACTTGCGAGACTGGCGTTTCCTGACGGAGACGCCGAAGGAGATGGACATGGGCGAATTCTTTTCAAAAAGAGACTTCATGTACCATTATAACGCTACGTTTCCCAAAGATTTAAAAAAGGACACAGTTAACCCCGAGCAGAAAAAGAGAGAATTCAGCATCAGTTCAACAAGAAGTCCATTTGAGAATAAGAAAGTCAAGCCAGCCAAAACAAGCGACCACGTAGTTTTTAGCAAAACGGATAACAAGACAGCCAGCGCACCGTCAGATCTAAACGCTGTAAACACAATGTACACAATGATACGTAAAACTGACAATAACACCACCGATATCTCCGAGAAGAACTTGAGGACCACAAGGGAGGCTGGAATACCTGTCATTTACATGCCTGGCAAGAAAAAGAAGAGAAAATGTTCTCAAGTTAGCGGCCTCTTGGCGGGGTTCAACACCTTTAATTATCTCACCTTCGTCACAGGTGTCATAACTCTCGTCCTCAACGCAAATAACAACATAAACAACAACAATAATAATAACAACCTGAACAATAACAACGATATTTCGAATAACAATGTCAACGCCAATACCAACACTCAGAATGGTAATCAGGTGAGTAGTATGTAATTTGGTAATGGGTAGTTTCCGCTAGAAATTTTATTGCAATGAAAAAAGTTAAGTAAGAAAATGAAAGTTGGTTTTTATAGTCTGTTACTTGCACTCACGCTAAATCTAATAAAGTCTCCGGAAGTAACGCGCCATATTTCACAACAGGATACTTAATAATCTCAACTGAAAAAACCAAGGCACTTAACCCAAAGACAATCCCTCTGCCAAGGTTTCATATTGGTGGCGTTGAGCTAGATCTCTGCCATCAATACAGATACCTCGGGGTGATTGTTAATGATTCAGAACTCATCAGAAACCTGAAGAAAAGGTTATGGGAGCGGCTGAAGCCACTTAGGACGCTTGTCGGCAAAGACTATGGTGTTAATGTCAATATTGCGAGACTCTTTTACTTGTCATACATAAGGTCGGTCATAGATTACCATGCATTGCATCTAGTATTGTTCAAGGAATCAGAATTGACTAGTTTAGAAAGTGTACAAAATGAAGCCATGAGGATCATTCTTGGTGCCCCTAGAACAACAAGGATTGTGAATATGAGAACAGAACTTAGTTTGCCTTCTCTTTATGAAAGAATATTATATATAAATACCACATTTAGTGTCAAATCAATTAGAGAACCCCTCCACTGTACAGAGTTCCAAAGACAACTAAAACACAGAATAGAAGAGCTAACTTTGAATGACAACACCAATTCATTATCAAATCCATGGGTACAAGTAACATGTAAACACTTAGCTCAGCTAAACATACCCATAACTAAGACCCTACATGGACGTTCTGTACCACCGTGGAAAATGTCTGACCTAAGTGTATACTATACGACTGCCCCCAAAAAAGACAGTGTCCCCCCTGCTATACTTAAGCAGTATGCACTTGCAATTATAAATGAGCATTTAGAAACTCTGCCCAATGCATATGAATGCTACACCGACGGATCCTTGCAATCTGGGATCAGAGCAGGATGCGCTTTTGTTGTATATAAAAACAGCATTTTGCAGCACCAGGATTGTAGGAGGGTTCATGACTGGGCTAGCACTTCACAAACTGAGTTGGCAGGAATACTCATGGCCACCGAATTTCTATTGAATCAAGGCTCAGGGGTCATTTTCTGTGATTCACAGAGTGCTCTCCAGGCTCTGAACACTCTAGACAAAGGTGCGGGAAATATTGCAAATGACATCAGGATAAACGTGTATCGTGCAAAAGAACGAGGCCATAATATACGTTTTGTGTGGATCCCATCGCATGTTGGAATCCCCAGGCATGATCATGCTGATCGCCTAGCAAAGTCAGCATGTGACAAACAAAGTGTGGATATAGATCTTGGGTTACCTCTTTCTAGGATTTTATACATCATCAAAGCTTCCTTCAAAGAGGACTTGACTGAATTAATTAATTCTCAACGCCCCGAAAGCTGTAGCATAAAGCACTATGACCGGTTTAGACAAGATTCATTCATCTATGGTTTATATAAAACAAGAACAAGACAGTGTGATGTTGTGACTGCAAGAATCAGGCTTGGATATAGAATTTATTGGCAGGTCAGTACAGCTTGTAATGTCGAAGAAACTAAGTGTAAACTGTGTAATGAAGAATATAAGCGAACACTTGTACACTATATCTCAGAGTGCCATGTGCTACAGCCTTTCAGGCCACCTAGCATGAGGTACAGAGAACTATGTAACTATTTCATATCATCTGATGTCTTAGAAGATATAATTATGTTGTATCCCAAATTTGGAATGTAGTATCACATGACTGCTTATCAAATGTATTAATACTTTTCCACGCCCAAGCTATATGTCGGTGTGGTAGATGAGTAACTAAAGGACTGTGCAACTGTTTCCCTTCCTTGATTTGACAAAGTACTTATTATCATAACAATGTTATAGGATAATATCCAAGTGTAATACCATTATGTAATGTTATGACCATGCATCAAATGTACTACAGCTTGCCCACGCCTGTGCAGTTAGCCAGGGTGGTAAATAAATAAAGGACTAAGAGGAGGATATACCACCAAACGTAAGTTAGAATTTATAAAAGAAAAATACAGTAATCCAAAACAGCATATTATACTTAATTTATGAAAAGTGTATATATTCGATTCGATTATATTATTGTAATACTCCTCATCCACAGGTCGTTATCTTCCCGCCTGGCAGGAAGCGTCGCTCTGTCGCGGACTGGCTCCTGCAGGCGTTGAACCGCCCTCAGGTCCAGGAGGCGAAGACGTCTACCTCCGCGCCATCCGCTGCGTCCGGTAGCAGCTGGGGCGGCGCGGCGGAGGCGGCGACGGTGGCGCTGCAGCTGTTCGATTCTTGGGTCCAGGTCGGTGTTTCCTTGTCTGAGATCTTGACCTTAAAAGACTAATGACCGCCTTCCTTATTCCGTTAAACTGACTGCACCATTTTTGCACAGTATCCATTATGCACGTTCAGTAAATCAGTAATAGCTCACGCCGACCGCATTCCTATTCAACTCCAACAGCAAATAACTAATGCCACCTCCGTCACCCCCACAGGCCAGCTCGGGCGTCAGTGGCGAGTGTGGCTGGGTGGAGTATTGCCTCCTTCTGCACGACCTCAGCCGCAGGAAGGGCGTATCGGCTGCGCTTTTCGACCCGGTCAGGTAAAGGCGCTGGGGAGGGGAGAGAGGGGAGAGAGGGGAGAGGAAGGGGAAGGGAGAGAGGGAAGGGGAAGGGGAAGAGAGAAGGGAGAGAGGGGAAGGGAGAAGGGAGAGAGGGGAGGGGAAGGGGAAGAGAGAAGGGAGAGAGGGGAAGGGAAGGGAGAAAGGAGAGAGGGGAGGGTAAGGGAGAAGGGAGAGAGGGGAGGGGAAGAGGAGTGTATAGGGGAGGGGTAAGAGGTGGGACGTGTGTAATACTTTATTCCCCAACTTCAAAATCTTTCTCAACGCTCGTGTCGCAGCCAGACACACGGAGATATGTATATCAGAGAGAACAACCTATTTAAGTAACGCACAAATCGCCTCAATCTAAACCCTTCTCGACGCTCTTGGCGCATTCAGACACACACACACACACGCACACACACACACACACGCACACACACACACACACATACACATATATATATAATCAGAGAGCAATTACAGCCACGTAACGCATAATTCCCAATCTTCCAGATCCTTCTCAACGCTCGTGTCGCCGGCGTGGGTTGGCAGTTCCTCGACCTGCTCCCTCCAGCGCGTGAAATGTCGTCTCAGGCGAACGCTGGTCTGATCTTTTGCTCCCCATTGTAAATCATTTGTATATTATTCACTTTCATTGTTATTCATCGATTAAATATTATGAATATATCTTAGAAATGTTGTATTTGTTTGGAATTTTCCTGGCGAGTTATGCATGCAAATTTTATATGAAGTTATATAATGTTTTTTTAAATGTAATGGAAACACAATGATATCTGATCATTTCAGTATCAAGATTTTTATTTGGAAAATTATCTAAGGATGGTTAATGGTTAATGGTTAAAAGCAAGATAAATGTGCTAGACATCTAAGGTCATGTAGCACTATAGTTAATGTTAGTGAAGGGTGGTTGAGTTAGTGGTTAATTGTCTAAGCTGGGCAAAGGAATTGGTAAGTGAAAGGGTTAAGGTTAGATGTTAGATTAGGTAAAGGATATGTATGTGTTTGAGGAAAGAGAATAGGTTATTGATGCAGAAAGTGTGGGATTCTGTAAGGATGTCTGATAGGTTGGGAGGTCGGTGAAGGGAGGATAGGTGGGGGAAAGCAGAGGTACGGGCTGTAACTATCTAAGGATAAAATTTATTTATTTATTTATTGAAAATGTTTTGCCGCTTTGTGTTCATTTGCGACGTATTCGGAATAAAGCGATAGGGTGGTGCGTGGGGTGCGAAAGAAAGTTTTTTGTTCAATACGGCGATGTTTATGGATTTCAAGAATAGTTGATGGTCAAAACAAATAAAAGTAATAGCCATCGAAGGTCATATGGCATTATGATAAAGTATTGTGGCGAAAAGGATATAAATAAGTTAACGATTAGGATAAGTAGACAAGAGGAAGGGATGAAGAAGAAAAAGAAAGGGAAAGGAGGAGAAGAAAAGACCACTTAAAAAATTGGTTAAAGCGAGGACTGAGGTCTAAGGCAGGGATGAGCTATTACTTTAGGCCTCAGACCCTATTTGCTAAGCCCCCCTCCCCCCTCCCCTCCCCCCAGGACAACAACGAGCAAGGGATGTGGGGGGGGGGGATAAAATGATAGAACCAATACTAATTAATAATCAATACTTCTTTTTTTCGGTAAGGAATGTTCATTTCAGATTTTTTAAGGGTGAAGTAAAATTCAAATTCTGTTTTATAACAATATTCATTTCAGAAAAAGTTCTGATGCAAAATATTTCAAAATATGTCAATATCAATTATACTACAAAGAAAGAGCTAATTGCAAATAACAAAAGAACTTAACAAATAACATAGTTGTATCTTTAACATCAAAATAAAAACATAAAAAGTAAGCAATTCATCCATACTTCACTTTGGAGAATGTAAAATAAACATCATACTTTCACACTTTTAAAAAATCACTTAAATGTTATTGTTTAGGCTGAATGGAACATGCATGCATCTATGCATACTATGTATTCGTTTGTGCGTGCGTGTGTGCGTGTGTCCGTAAGTGTGCACGTGCGTGTGCGCGTTTGTTCGTTTGTATGTGGGATTTCTTTATACATTTATTCATTTATTAATGTGTGGATCTGTGAGCTGTATTACCCTATTGCACTTAGGTTCGGATGCATTTGCCGTCCTCGCCAAGCCGCACTTTCCCTCTTGCCACCATCTCCATTGCCCTGAAACAGTAATATCTCTGTTAACAAATGGATTACGATTAAATCATTACGTTAGCATTGTCGCTCTTCATAAGTCTCTGTTAGTACTGCGGTCTGAATGAAACGATCGCACCGCACCAAAAACTTCAGTAAAACGATGAATTTAGCAACAGAAACAGACACAGGCACACACACACACACACACACACACACACACAGACACACACACAGACACACACACACACACACACACACACACACACACACACACACACACACACACACACACACACACACACACACACACACACACACACACACACACACACACACACACACACACACACACACACACACACACACACACACACACACACACACACACACACACACACACACACACACACACACACACACACACACACACACACACACACACACACACACACACACACACACACACACACACACACACACACACACACACACACACACACACACACACACACACACACACACACACACACACACACACACACACACACACACACACACACACACACACACACACACACACACACACACACACACACACACACACACACACACACACACACACACACACACACACACACACACACACACACACACACACACACACACACACACACACACACACACACACACACACACACACACACACACACACACACACACACACACACACACACACACACACACACACACACACACACACACACACACACACACACACACACACACACACACACACACACACACACACACACACACACACACACACACACACACACACACACACACACACACACACACACACACACACACACACACACACACACACACACACACACACACACACACACACACACACACACACACACACACACACACACACACACACACACACACACACACACACACACACACACACACACACACACACACACACACACACACACACACACACACACACACACACACACACACACACACACACACACACACACACACACACACACACACACACACACACACACACACACACACACACACACACACACACACACACACACACACACACACACACACACACACACACACACACACACACACACACACACACACACACACACACACACACACACACACACACACACACACACACACACACACACACACACACACACACACACACACACACACACACACACACACACACACACACACACACACACACACACACACACACACACACACACACACACACACACACACACACACACACACACACACACACACACACACACACACACACACACACACACACACACACACACACACACACACACACACACACACACACACACACACACACACACACACACACACACACACACACACACACACACACACACACACACACACACACACACACACACACACACACACACACACACACACACACACACACACACACACACACACACACACACACACACACACACACACACACACACACACACACACACACACACACACACACACACACACACACACACACACACACACACACACACACACACACACACACACACACACACACACACACACACACACACACACACACACACACACACACACACACACACACACACACACACACACACACACACACACACACACACACACACACACACACACACACACACACACACACACACACACACACACACACACACACACACACACACGCTTGTCTCTGGGCGTGCATTCCCTTGAAGGCCGGCAGGAGAGATGGGTGGATGTTGAGGAGACGCCCCCGCCAGCGCCTCACGAACTCGCCTGTCAGAATGCGCATGAATCCGGCAAGACAGATGAGCTCTATGTCTGCCTCCTCCAGCGCCTTCGTCAGAGCGGCGTCGAAATCTAGTCGGGATTTGTAGTTCTTGTGGGGAATCACCTGGAGAGAGATAGAGAGAGAGAGAGAGAGAGAGAGAGAGAGAGAGAGAGAGAGAGAGAGAGAGAGAGAGAGAGAGAGAGAGAGAGAGAGAGGGAGAGGGAGAGAGAGGGAGAGGGGGAGGGGGAGGGAGAGGGGGAGGGGAAGGGAGAGGGAGAGAGAGAGAGAGAGAGAGAGAGAGAGAGAGAGAGAGAGAGAGAGAGAGAGAGAGAGAGAGAGAGAGAGAGAGAGAGAGAGACGGGTGTTGAATTACGATTCTACTAGGTCTCGCATGCCTGCTGATATGAAAAGCCAACGAAATATTTCAAATATTAAATAATCTTACCTTGGTTGCTACGCCAGCATCCTGGGCTCGCTGCAACCCTTTCACGCCCGCCACGTTACTTATCACAAGCACAATCTGGGCTGAGCTAAGGCCGGAGCGAGTGTGGTCCAACAGAGCCTACAAAGACAAACACTTTTCAAAAGCACACTCATGTCGAATAGTCTGTTATAGAAATCTTCCTGTAATCATACACAAAAGGCATAAAAATAACACAAGAATCGATTTTCCTCAGATAATAACCCTCCCCCTTCACAAAACAACAACAAGAGAATGCGTAAGAAAACACGATTATACGGAAGGTTTATACGAAGATGCAATAAAGCCAAAAGGCCTTAGGCAAACTCGTGCGTTTCCCAGCCATTCCGTTCGTTGTTTTGTTCCCAACCATCTGATAATTTCACGTATTCACATCAGGACGGAGTGAATACCTGTAGGTTGGTCCCTGAGCCGGAGATGAGGACCGCCACCTTCCTTCGGGGCGCTGTGAGTGAGGGGCATTTGGCGACCAGGGAAGACGCCCCTTCGCGCAGCACGTCCTCGAGGCCCTCCAGAACCACGCGCGAGGATCCTGAGGCGAGTTGGAGGATATAACTGATGTGAGGATGAATGATGAAGGAACAGGTCGGTGTCAGGGGGGGGGGCGGTAAGAAGAGGGGGAAGTGAGATCGCGTTTCTATTTAGTGATGGAGGGTAGGAGATGAGACAGAATGGAGGACTAAAGTAGTATGTAATAAAAAAAGGGAGAGAAAGTGCAACAGTGTGATGCATTGACGATAAGAGTAGACAAAGATAATTATGAAACATAAAAAGTGATGTAAATGTAACTTACCAGCCATCAACAAAAACACAGCATAGCCACCTTAACAAAACATTTTAGTCCCTATGAACAAATTCAAATGCCTCGATAGAAACGCACAAATTTAGAGAAAGCTTATTTTTTTACGTGACCTAAGGATTACCTTGCGTATGTGGCCGTAGTGAACCAACGACCTGTCCTTCGGGTAAAAGCTTCATCACTGCATCCAGGTCAGTCGGCGCCACCACCAGCACCATGCCCAGACCGCAGTTGAATGTTCGGGCCATTTCGCTCGGACTAACACCTGAACATAATCAAAGCA